CTGCTTTGGGATTTGGGGGTTTAGGGGGATGGAATCAGGGAAGGCTTCTTGTAGGAGGTGGCATTTGAGTTGGATTTTAAAGAATGAGTAGAAATTCAATAGAGCAAGAGTGAGGGAGATGAAGGGCGTTCCAGGTACATAAGAAACCAATTGGACTTAATTGTGAATTGGATTTAAATGAGTGAGTTTCTAAAAGTTGTTAGCCTCACTCTCTTCCTTAGTCATTGAAGTCCAGTGGCAGGACAAAAGTCAGGATGACTAGTGATGGCCCAGGATGAAGTGGATAACCTTGATTTCTTTGATGTCTGACCAAGCTCTAAGCTCTCCACAGCTCCTGCAAAAGCCTTCGTGGCTGTTGGACAAAATTTTTCTTATCTGCCCATTCTGCCACGAAAAGCCTTCACATGCTTGATGAAGACATCACTGTAACTCTAACAGGTTTGAGGCCCGGAGGTTACCCTCAACATGGTTTAGCCCATCTGCTGAGAAACTTTTACCTGGGTGTAGCCACTACCCATGCTGCAGCTTCTTGGAGCCACAGGTGAGAGTTGGGTGAAGGTGGACAAGCAACCTGACGAGGGCTTGACAGGCCCTCACACCAGAGGGGCTAGCCCTCCCTGAACACTCCATACATTCTAGGTATAGGATACGCTAAAAGGAAAGGGATAGCTAGCTGAATGAAAATGAGGGGCTTGTTCTGGGGACATAGAACAGTGTTGAGTGAGTGGAGGAGGTGGGAAAAAAGATGGTGACACCAGATTTTGGAGGACCCTGTGAATGTGACCCAGAGAAATTTGACTTGTACTCCGGAGGTAGTAGGGAGCCAGTGAAGATTTTTGAGCAAAGGAATGACAGAAAAATTTTACTGGCAGGGGTGTGAAGGATAGATTGGAAGAAGAGACAGGGGAGATAGAAAGATCTGTAAGGAGGCTACAATAGTCTAGGTAGATGGTATTTAAACTAATGAGTCAGCTGTCAGGACAAGGATGAAAGATTAGAGGAGAAATATTGTTGTTGTTGATCTTGTTTGTACTTCATTCTCAAAGAGGACCATGACATCGAGGAGGTGATGCCATGACTTGCAAGTGAATTGGATTTCAGTGAGCGGGGGCCGTGCAAAGTCACCAGCCTCACTTTCTTCTCTGGAGCCTTCTGAGTCCAGTGGCAAGCTATAGATCAGGACTACTGGAGATGGCCCCCAGGAAGAGATGTTACAGAGGCAGAATTGATATGAATCATTGTGTTTAGATATGAAAGGACAAAAAGATCATGGAATCATAGATTTAGAGGTGGAAGAGATTGTAGAGGTAGAGGTTATCTAATCCAATCCATTTCACAATTGAGGAAACTAAGGCCCAGAAAAATGTAGAATGACTTGTTCAGTGTCACACAGGTTAAGTGACAGTCAGGATTTGAACCCAGATCCTTCTATTCCAAATCCATCACTGAGTCACACAGAATCAAATATTGTCCAAGTTTCTGAACAAGGTCAGGAGTATTTGTACCCCAGAGGAGCACGTCTCCAATTTTGCAACTCAAATTGATGCGAAAAATATGATTTGATATGTAGAAATTTGCTTTCTAGGCAGCCCCACCCACCAGCCCCTCCCCACCAATGCATTTATTCTGTTGTTAAGTGAGGCTAATGGGTGTCTGAGCCAGCTCAGGCCTAAGCAGCAGATGGCCCCAGGGCTCTGGGGGTCTTGTTAGGCCTTCTGGAGAGCATTCAGACTGACTGATGATTTGAATGAATCCTCTTTCTTCCTGGGCACAAAGAACTGTACCAAGAGACAATCTCTTAGTCGTACATCCTGATGATCCAATGAAGAGAACGTGTCTGACAACCTGAATCTACAGAAGCCTGAATGAGGCTGTTTCCTCCCCTCCTGCCTCTGCTTTAGAGTGGAGGGATGGGGAAGGGGCGGGTTCCCTGTTGTAAGGACACAGTCTTGGGCTTTAGAATTCAGTCTCTTTCTGTTTCTCTTTCCTTCCTTGAGGCACTGCCGGAGGCAGAAGAGGGGGAGGAAGCTGCCTTTTGGAAGCTTAGTCTTTACTCTCACTAAACGCTTTAACAGCTGGGGTGCAACAACACCCCTTCTCCCCTCAACGGATACAGACTCATTGTAGTTTCACTGGAGCAGCCAGGAGAGAGGCAGCGGTCACAAGTCGCTGGGGCCGCACGATTATAGAAAAGGATGTTAGAGATGATCTAATCTAACCCAGTCATTTTACAGAGGAGAAAAATGGGGAAATGACTTGTCCAAGGTCACACACTTAGTAAGTGGCAGGGCTGGTTCTCAAGCCCCAGACCTTCTGACTTTGAATCCCCGGCTCTCTTCCTACTACCCAGCACCGTCCCTGGCTGCTCCAATGCAATGCATCCACGTGCCTGAGTCTGGAAGCCACCCTGTAATTCCTTATCTTTTTTTGCCTACTCGTCAAATGTCCTTTCTCATCACCTTTCTCCTCCTGCTGTGTTTGTTCCTACACCTCCTTAAAGCCTACCTCAAATGCTGGCTTCTCTTTGGAGCCTGCACTGATCCCTGAGTTGGTCACAACCTTCCCCTTCAGTCAATAAGTCAGTCACAAAGAATTTATTAAGTGCCTACTATGTGCCAGGCACTGCACTAAGCACTGGAGATACAAAGAAAGGGCAAAAGACAGTCCCTGCCCTCAAGGAGCTCACAGTCTAGTGAGGAAGAAAAAATTCATCCAACACTCAATCCTCCATTGTACTTATCATGAATTATTTTGTTATCGTCACCTCGGTTTGTGTTTCATCCCCTGCTCGATTATAAGCTTCACAGAGGTAAGGACTGTCACCTGGACTTTGTATTTCCCCTTGTGCCACTGCTTCTGTTCCCTGACACTGTCACCAACAGCCTGCTGGTTGGCCTCCTTACCCCACTGCAATCCATTCTTCACTCAGCTATCAAATTGATCTTCCATGTTGGACCATGTCACTCTCCTACTCCATAAATTTCATTGGTTCCCTGTCACTTCCAGGATCAAATAGAAAATCTGATGTTTGGTGTCCAAAACCATTCATACCCTTCCTTCTCCCCCCTTCCCCAATCTGCTTATGCCTTATACCTACCCTCCCACATAACTCTTTGACCCAGTGACATTTGCCTCCTTTCTGTTCTTCAAACAAAATTTAAAAAATAATAATAATGGCATTTATATAGCATTTGCTATGTGCCAGGCTTGGTGCTAAGTGCTTTACAAAGTATCTCATCTGATTCTCACAACAACCATGGGAAGTGGGTACTTTTATCTTCCGCATTTTACAGAGGAGGAATCTGAAGCAATCAGAGATTAAGTATCTCAGACTGGATTTGAATTCAGATCTTCCTGACTCGAGGCCCAGCAGTAACATATAACGGGTATTTAATAAATGTTTATTGACTGACTGGCTGACTGACTGCTTTTGCTTGGCACCAGGGTTCCAGGATTATCCCTGAGCTACATCAGCAGCTTCACGGGGGTAGGAACTAAGCAGCAGCCCCCTTTTCCTCCTCATCAGAATGATTTCTCCCTGCGTCTCCAGAATTTCATTCTTGAGAACTTCCTATCCATGTCGGGTTGCCTTCTCCTGCAAAATATGAGATTATTGGATTCTAGATAGCTTTCCTAGGAACACTGTGAAATATATTCTCCCTGTGTCTAGGATGCCCATCAAACCAAGACTGGATCTGCTCTCCTCTACCATGAACTCTAGTACGGAATGGGTATTTGCCAACAAGATTCCATAATTTCTGTTGTACTGAAGGTGAAGCTCTTTGAGTCTCATTTTCTTCATCTACAAAAGAGGGATAAGAACGCTTATGCCCTGCCCCACAGAGTTGTTGTTGGGAAAGCCATTTATAAATATTCAGGCATTAGAGAAATAGGAGCCCTTGATAGTCTAACAATAATAATAATAATAATAATAATAATTACTGATATTTAGGTAATACTTGATGGTTTGAAAAACAGTTTATATGCATAATTTCATTTGGCAATAGAGGTATTAATTTTCCTATGTTACAGAAGAAGAGGCTGTAGGTTAGACGTTTAAGGGATATGCCCATGGTCACACTGTTAGTCTCTCTAGACTCCATTTCCAGGGCTCTTTCTACCATACAAATTGTCTTTTTTTTAAATTATATGAATAAAGTGGAATATGAATAAGGTTTTCAAACTTTCCTGTAGCTCTGTCTCCTTGTCTGCTTCTTGCTGTATTGGGGATGCAGGGTGAGGATCCCTGATGAGCTGGTCTGGTGAGCAGAGCAGGGTCAATGCCCCGGAGTTCAATGGCCCCAGTTCATGGTTTGGTGAGAACGCCATGTTCTACCTCTCTCCCTCCCAGGTGAAGGTGATGGTGCGGATCTGTACATCGCCAGGTGCCCCTCATTCTTCTGAGCCCATGTCCTTCCTGAAGGTAGATTCCCGGAAGAAACAGGTGACGCTGTATGACCCAGCTGCTAGTTCCCCCGCTAATGGGGGCTCTCGAAGAACGGCGGGTGCAGTCCCGAAGATGTTTGCTTTTGATGCTGTCTTCCCACAGGATGCTGCTCAGGTGAGTGAGGGGCAGCAGGGCTGTCTGAGGGAAGGAAGGGCCAGGCTGGGACCTCTAGAACTTGGCTTTTGAAGCTGCCTTCTAAAGTTTGTAGCATTTTTCTGGGGGTGGAGGAGATGGTGAGAAGAGTGTTTTCGTTCTCTTGTAATGGAGAGAGAGGATCAAGGGCTCAAAATCTGGTCCTGCTGACAAGGCGGTTTCCCCTTGCACCAGGAATGGTAAAAGCTGGTGAGATTGTGGAACGTTTGTGTTTTCTTATACAAAGTTGGAGGCTTCTTGACCTGTTTGGGTCTCTGACGTGAGATGCCAGGTTCCCAGGATCTCTAATATGGGTCCACTCTAGAGAATAGGGAAGGGCTCAGAAGGTGTCAGGAAAGCATTGACCTTGTCATGCGAAGTTCTTGCCACTCAGCCCTTTATTGTGCATTGTGCTGTCCTTCAAGACCTCAGGCAGTCCTCAGTACCGTGCGGTGCCAGGCATGAGACTCTGCACAGGGGAACCAGATTATGTATAGCCCCATTGCTATTCATGAGTAGATTTCACCCAGCTCTTTTGCTCTCTCTCCTGTCAATATGCTCAGTGCTAGGAGGGCCAGCGTAGGAACAGCAAGCAAGTGATTCAGAAGTCTGGGCTCATTCCACACTGGCTCTGGGCAGCCACAGAAGGAGGGGAAGAGAAGCCGGTGCTTTCCTTAAGGCTATCAGCAGCGGCTGTTGCCTTCTTGTCCTGCAGACCAGTTATTCTACCTTCCCCACTGCACGGTGCTAGAAGAGATGCATAAACCTGGCCCCAAAGTTCATTCTCCCTTTCTTCCTTTCTTCCTAGTTTTTCAAAGCACAACTTGCATACCTTGAGATCCAAGAATACAAAAACTGATTTTAAAAATCAGCATGCATATTATGCATGTTTGTATGTAAGGCACACGTAATTACATGTGTATTATATGAGTGTGCCATTCCTCTTTGACTGTACCTGTGTTTACCCTGAATGCATCATATTTGTATGCTGCATGGAATAATAAATCACACTTTCTGGTATTACTCCCTAGATTCTTTTAAGGGCTCAGCTTGAGAGCAGTCTTTCAATTCTTTGTGTCAGTCAATCAGTCAGTCAGTCAACAAGCATTAGTAAAGCATTTACTATGTGCAAAGCATTGTACTAAGTGCTGGGAATACAGAGAATGGCAAAAGTAGCTCCTGCCTGCCCTCAAGGAGCTCACATTCCATTGTCCCACTGAAATTATTTTTTTTAATCTGTTTTTTATTTACTTATCTGCATACTTCTTGTTCTCCAGCACCTCAGATAAGTATAATGAATGCTCTATGATGACAGGGACTATCTCACTTTTGGTTTTTGTCACCCTACTACCTGGTATACAGTAGGTACTTAATAAATGCTTGCAAATTGCCCAAAGGGGAGATTTGGTTTCTGTGTTCCAGAGGAGATCCTATAACTGCCTTTTCTATGGACTTGTCTTAATTCGGGTGGCAGATTGGGTGGTGAGCTGTACAGTGAGGCCCTCACCCACTCCCACCTCCACGTCTCCTTCCTGCAGGCTGAGGTGTGCTCCGGGACGGTGGCAGACGTGATCCAGTCAGTTGTGAACGGTGCTGATGGCTGCATATTCTGCTTTGGCCATGTCAGGCTCGGTGAGCACCCAGTTTCCCTTCCATTAATGACTCCCTCAGTCTGGTAATTACATGCTGTCAGTTCCCGGAACAATAAAGCTGGAGTCTGGAAAGAGATGGGGATTTCTTCTTAATTAGCTTTTGCAAACTTCCCAGGTTTATTCCTGCAGCATTAAAACCTTCAACTTTAATGGGGGAGGAGGTCAAATGATAAAACTGAGGAGCTCAAGGGGGTCAATATGCTGGGCCTTGTTTTGTGGAATAATTCTAAAAATATTGGATTTAGGGTCAAAAGGTCTAGGTTCAGATCCTGGTTCTTCCACATTGCCCCGTGTGGCCTTGGGCCCTTCTCCCTGGGCCTCAGCTCCATCCCCACCACTATCATCGTCCTCATCATTGTAGCTGGTCTTTATATGGGGCTTTATGTTTTGTAAAATGCTTAATGCATCATAAATCCTCAAAGACAAACTGTGTGAGGCAGGTATGAGAGTGATTATTGCTCCCATTTTACAGATGAGGAAACTAAAGCTCAGAACCTCTAAGTGGGTGGTGAATACATGTTTGTTAGATTAAATTAAAAGACTTGCCTATGGTCTCACAGCTAGGTATTGGATGCAAAATTTGAAAATGAGGTCTCTCTTAACTTCCCCTGGGCTTCTTTCCATTCTAATATGCTGCCTCATCTGTAAAATGAGACAGTTGGTCCAGAGCAGGGCTTCTTAACTTTTTATGTCATGGACCCCTTTGACTACTGTCATGGTGAGGTCAGCGGACACTTTCTCAGAATAATATTTTTAAATCCATAAAATAAAATACAATTACGAAGGAAAACAGTTACATTGAAATAGATAGTTTTTCCCCCATCTAAGTTCACAAACCCCCTGAAATCTAAGAACCCCAGGACAAGATGACCTTTTAAAGGTCCCTTCCAGCTCTAAAATTCCACAATCCTATATATCAGGAAGACCAGATGAGTTTGGAAATTAATATGTTAAGGGATTGAGTTAGAGGGAGGGATGTGATTCATGAATACTAATAGATCTGTCTTGAAATAGACCTTGACCTCTCATGGCCTTGGGGATAAGATAAGTCACTGAGGCAGCTGGTGGTGTGATGGACAAAGCACTCGACCTGAAGTCAGGAGGACCTGAGTTCAAATCCGGCCTCAGACATTTACCAGCTGTTTGATCCTGGGCAAGTCACTTCATTTGCTTGCCTCAGTTTGCTTAACTGTAAAATGAGGATAATAATAGCACCCATCTGCCAGGGTTGTTGTGAGGATCAAAAGAGATAATATTTGTGAAAGTGCTAGTGTCCAGGAAATAATAGGCATCCTGTAAGTGCCTATTCCCCTTTCTTCTTCACTTCAATGAAAGGGGTTGTGGTCAAAACAGACCAGGGCTTAATTGGATGATATGGTCAGAGCTCAGTCTGGTCCTGGGTTCAGGGAACCAGGGGCTGGCTGTATTTGAGTGGAATGCTTTCTCTCTGACAGCGCTGGGACTGGTGTGGCTGGTGTCCGTCCAGAGGACGAGGTCCCCTCAGTCCCTGTTTCCATTCCCCGTCACTTGACAATAACCGCTCAGTCTTTTTTCTTGTTGTTCCTTCAGGGAAGTCATATACCATGATTGGGAAGGATCATTCCACCCAGAGCTTGGGGATTGTGCCCTGCGCCATTTCTTGGTTATTTAAGCTGATCAATGAGCGGAAAGAGAAGACGGGAACCCGGTTCTCTGTGCGTGTTTCTGCCGTAGAGATTAGCGGCAAAGATGAAAACCTCAAGGATTTGTTAGGTGACGTCGCCAGTGGCAGCCTTCAGGACGGGCAGTCTCCTGGGGTATACCTTCGAGAGGATCCTATTTGTGGAACACAGGTATAAAGAGCAGCATGCAGGCCCCGGTCACGCCAAACCCTTCCCTCTCTTGTCTTCCTTTTAATCTGAGGATAATTACAACAGTTTCTAAGGTAGCTTAAAAAGAAAGATAATGCCTTTAATTTTTTTCCCTGCCTTTAATTTTTAATCCCCTCTCCCTGGCTGTACATATTTGTTTCTCTGATAGCCCTCGAGACTTAATCTGTCTGACAAAAAATGCCAGTCAGCCCTCTCTATAATGAGCCACTTCCTCCTTGGTTTTCAGCTTCAGAACCAGAGTGAGCTCCGGGCCCCAACTGCAGAGAAAGCTGCCTTCTTCCTGGATGCCGCTCTGGCTGCCCGGAGCACCAGCCGAGCTGACTGTGATGAAGAGGACCGAAGGAATTCACACATGCTGTTCACCCTCCATATCTACCAGTACCGGATGGAGAAGTGTGGCAAAGGAGGAAGTAGGTCTCCCTTCCCTCCTTCCCCCGCCCTTTTGGGTTTTGTTCCGAGGTTTGGGACCTTCCGTAGGATTTCCACAAGTATCAGGGTGCTATAAATGCATAGAAATGCTACAAAGTCCTCATGGCTGTACATTGTTGGTGCACATTGAGCATGAGGCCAAGGTTATAGTTGTGACCCAGTTAGGGACAGAGAGAGACAGAGAGAAAGAGAGACAGAGAGAGAGACAGAGAGAGACAGAGAGAAAGAGAGAGACAGAGAGAGAGAAAGAGAGAGAATGCGTATGTGTATGTGTGTGTGTGTATGTGTATTTATTAAGTGCTTTCTATGTGTTTTCCCTCAGGCATTGTGCAAAGCATTGAAGTTCACTGTCCTGGGGTGAGGCTTTGTCCTTTGGCCCTAGACTGTGTCATGACCCCCAATCCCAGATTGAGCATAAGAGTATGGATAATTCAGTGCAACCCATCTCTACTACAGAGAAAAAAAATCCCTCAATCTGTATGTTCTGCTGATGGGGAATCAGGAGTAAAATCCTCATATGAAAACTGACTGTATTGTAAACAGAAGTGGTCAACCCCACTCCTCCACCCAAGTCCTTTGTCTTTCATGCTAGTCCAGCCACAGGGCAGTGAAGCTCAATGCCCAGCAAATAGGAAACATTTAATAAATGCATACTCCCTCCCCTCTCCTCTCTTCTCCTCCCCCCTCCCCTCCCCTCCCTTCCCTCTTTCTCTCTCCTCTGTCCTGTCCTGTCCTCTCCTCTCCTGTCCTCTCCTCTTCTCTCTCTCTCTCTCCCCCTCCTCTCCTTCTCTTTTTCTCTCTCTCCATCCATCCATCATCTATCCATCTCTCTACCTACCTCTTTATTTCTCTAACCATCTTTCTATCCATCCATCTATCCAATAGTCTTTCCTTTCATTAGAATTTCATTGAACTTAATATCTCAGAACAATCAGGCCAAACATTGGGACTTGGAATTCTTTTAGTCATGGACAGAGTTTAGATTTGAAGGGAATCCCCATGGTAGGAGTTGATCTCTATTCTAGAGCTGACACTCTTGACAGTTATCATTGTGTCCACCTCAAGACTGAAAACCAGTCAAGAGATAAGTACTGATCAAGGCCGCCTAAGTGTGCATGCATCTCTCAGTATCTGAAGAGAGTCTGGGAGCTCAAACTGTGCCATATATACATGCACAAGCTGTCTGCCATCTGTTTAATCCTCTGTTTAGATAAGGAACTGGGTTCGACTAATGTTTAATTCCATCCATTTGCCAATTTGAACGTTGACCCTGAGACTCATTCTTGGTTTTAGTGAAACATCATTTAGCTCTGTTTTGTTGTTATTGTTCCGTTGTATCTGACTCTTTGTGAGCCCATTTGGGGTTTTCTTGACAAAAGTACAAAAGTGATTTGCCATTTCCTTCTCCAGCTTATTTTACAGATGAGGAAATTGAGGCAAACAGGGCTAAGGACTTGCCCAGGGTCACACAGCTAGTAAGCGTCTGAGGCTGGATTTGAACTCAGGTTTCCCTAATTCTGCTAGTATTGCTTTTTATTTGTCATTCTTATCCAGTTGGGGTCAATAGTTCTCAGTTCTTTGAAATGGTCTAGAACTGTATTTGGAGTCCTTCAGTTTTCTAGGATAACATCTTCCCTTTTTTTTGGTTTCAGTGTCAGGTGGACGTAGCCGTTTGCACCTCATCGACTTGGGGAGTTGTGAAAAAGTGCTGAGCAAGAACCGGGAAGCTGGTGGTTCCCTGTGCCTGTCTCTGTCCGCCTTGGGCAACGTGATCTTGGCCTTAATCAATGGTGCAAAGCATGTGCCGTACAAGTGAGTGGATGACCACATGTACCGGTCAGTCTTACCCTCGGCCCACAGCTCAGGGCACTCGTACTTTTAGGTCTTAGTATTCAGCATAGTAACAGTACCTTGGCATTTTATGGATCTGTCAGTCAGTCAGTAAGCATTTATCAAGCACCTACGATGCACCATGCACAGTGTCAAGCATCAGAGATGTAAAGAGAGACAAAAGACAATCCCTGCCCTCAAGGAGCTCACAATCTAACAGGAGAGACAACATGCAAACAACTATGTACAAATGAGCTATATATAGGATAAACAGCAAATAATTAACAGAGAGATGACACTAGAATTAAGAGAGATTGGGAAAGGCTTCCTGGAGAAATTGGGATTATGGCTTTATCAAAGTGGGTTTGATCTACCTGGTGTAGATTGCTACCCCTCCTTCACCTCTTGTCCTGTTTGATTGGGGTTTATAGCTTTCTATCAATCCTCCATAGAACCTCTAACTTTCTCTGGTTCTTTGGATATTTTGTGTATATTGATATGACCCTCATTCTGTAAGAATGATAGCTCTCATTTCTGTGGGGCTTTAAGATTCACAAAGCACTTTCCTAACAACAATTCCATTATGTAGGTAGCATAGGAATTGTTATCCTCATTTTAAAGATGAGGAAACTGAGAAGTCCATTGTCTTCTGGTCTACTACTCTTTCCTATATGGTTCCCAATTTTTTTTTTTGTTCTTCCATACCCCTTTCAACAACAGCAACAGCAAATGTGTTGCGAACCCCCAGGATAATTGAATATACTACTCAGAACATTCTTCAAGATTTATTCATTAAGTGCTTATAATAACTGTGTGAAAATTTTTGCTTCCCAAAACTCCAAATTAAAATTTGCATTATATAAAATCTAAAATTGTATTCTACCTAAATTCTGAAAACTCTAAATATACAATGATAAAGCTCTAATTATAAAATAATTATGAATTTTTTTAGTGAGCCATTCTATAAGAATGAAAAGAATTATTCCAACAAGACCTTTTATGCCTACTAATGTGCAAGATTATACATTCAATTTCATTTTACAAATTTTGGGCAATCATTTGCAGCTTAAGGTAGCATTAAAATTTTTTAAGTCGTGAATCCCTTGAACCTTAAACCACTGCACTATATACATTTCTTAAGAATGTAAATTTCTCAAATGCATATTTCTTTTGGACAAAATGTGCATGTAGTTTGTGGCCAGGTGGGAAAAATGTGTGTGTAGTTTGTGGCCAGGTGGGATTGTACAGTGGGATAAAGTCCCATTGGAGTATAATTGCATACATAGAGAACTTCTCAGAGCCCGTACATTCCCATTTGTAAGGACTAAACATAACTTTGAAACCCATGAGCATCCTCTACTTGGCAAGGCCCCAGGTGAGATGGAAAGTTTGTGGTCATAGACTCTTGGGTAGGTGACCTGTCTTTGTCATCTGCACTGGCCGCAGATGGGTCTCTTTTATTTTGCACACTGTCCCCTCTTATCAAAAGATTTACAGAGTCAAGAGGCCTGGGTTTGGGTCTCACCTCTGCCCCTAATTCAGTTTGTGGCCTTCAGCCAACGAAGAATGTTTGCCTTTTCTGGGTCTCAGTTTCCCCATCTGTAAAATGAGGATAAACTAGATTCCTTCCAGGTCTAGAATTCTTTCTGGCTGTCTGCTGTATGAATAGGCACAAAATGCAGGTAAAGGTTTGAGTTTGAAATGTGACCCACCATATGTCCCTTCTGGCTCTTCAGATGGTTCATTTGGTTTGGTTTAACCCAGGACATTCAAAATCTGAGTGCTGTTCCCCCTGTATCTACTCATTGGCAACAGCTCACGTAAAAAAGATCTGGACGTTTTAGAGGGCTGTAAACTCTATATGAGCCAACAGTATGATATGACAACGTATAAAATATTTGAGCTGTATAGTCTTCAGCTGCATTAATGGAAAGAAGCATCGTGCCCAGGATTAGGTAGGAGGAGATTGTCTTCCTGTCCTAGATGACATCTGGATTTCAGGACCAGGCCTTACCTTTCAGGGAGGACATTGATAAATTGGAGCATGTCCGGAGTAGACAAGGAGGGTGGGAATGGGACTGGAGGGTATGCCACGTGAAGATGGATCGAAGGAATTTGGGGATAGTTAGCTTGACAAGGAGAAGATTTAGGGGAGATGGGATGACTGCCTTTATATATTTGAAGGGCTGTCATGAAGTAGAATGATTAGGTCTATTCTATTTGGCCCCAGAAGGCAGAAGAGGGAGTAATGAGTGTGGGGAGATGGGCAGAGGGACAAATTTAGGCTTGGTGTAAAGAAAAAAAAGTCCTGACTCTGTACCTGTCTAAAATGGGAATGTGATGTCTCAGGGAGGGAGTGAACTTCCCTTCACCAGGGTCTTTCAGGGAGAAGTCTGATGACCCCTGGCTTGGGGATATTGTTGAAAACGATTGTTCTTGTTCATGTGTGGGTTGGTTAGAAGATCTCCAGGGTCCCTTCCAACCCTGAGATTCTATGACTCACAGTGTGCTTTAGGCAAGTGATGGTGTCTCTGATCTTCCCAAGCCTCATGTAAATGCCTGCTGAATGCTATCCAAAGTTATTTTTCAAATCTTTAGTTTAGGCTTTTCAGAAGGCTCAGGGGGATGCATGGAAGAAATGAGACCTTGGAAAGTGCTCGGTCCACTTAGAATGTTTTGTTTATTCTAAAGAAGGTGCCACCTGGGACTCTGGTCTGTGCTGGCATAGCATGAGAGAGAAGCAGGCTTTGCTGCCTGCTTAATGCTTCAGTGAGTGTTAATAATAATAATAATAATGATAATAATAATGATGATGATGATACTTATACCATGCTAAGTGCTTTACAATTATTATCTCACTTGATCCTCACAACCTTGGGAGGTAGGTGCTATTTTGACCCCCATTTTGCAGATGGGGAAACTAAGGTAAGCAGAAGTTAAGTAACTTGCCCAGGGTCACACAACTAGGAAGTATATAAGGCCTAATTTGAATCCAGGTCTTACTGACTCCAGGCCTGGTGCTCTACCTCACCACCTAGCTGCCATTAAATCAGGCAGATGGTGACATGGGACCCCTTGCTCTTATATTCCCTAGGCCAGTTGCATCTCTGGTCCAGTTCAGGCATCCATCACTTCCTAGCTTTGTGTCTGCCTTGGTTGGACCTTGTCTAGTTAGCTTGTGGGAAAGTGGTGAGAATGTGAAAAAGAGGTTTTCATTTCTGCTTTTGACACTGACTCCTTTGGGTGATCCTTGGCAAATCACTCTGGGCTTCAGCTTCTCCAATCTATAAAATGATGGGAATAATATCTGCTTTGGTTCCCTACATAGGGCTATACTGAAAATTAAAAGGGCAGCTAGGTAGCACAGTGGATAGAGCACTGGCCCTGAAGTCAGGAGGACCTGAGTTCAAATCTGGCCTCAGATCAAACACTTGACACTTACTAGCAGTGTGACCCTGGGCAAGTCACTTAACCCCAATTGCCTAAAAAAAAAAAAGAAAATTAAAGGACTTTCCTGATAGGAAGTGGGATTTGCACCAGTTCCTTCCTTGCTCCAGGCCTCAGCTTCTCTACCTGTAAAATCACAGGGGTTGACTTGGTTGTCTTTAAAGGGTGGGTTTGGAGTGTGTGTGCCTTCCCAGGACAGGATATAGGTGAGTACGAGGGGTCAGCATCCCTGACCCTTTGGTGGCTCTGAGGTCAGCAGTGGGGCAGGTATAACCATCATTTCTCTTGGACTCAGATCTCCAAGAGCCGTTCTGAAAGTCCGTGATGAGAATAGCAGTAACAGCCCATATTCCTCTAATAATCTGAAGTTTAGGAAGCACTTTCTTTCCAAGAAATCTGTGAGGTCAGTAGGACAAATGATCTGCTCATGGCCATATAGCTATTAGGTGTCAGCACTGGGCCTAGAACCCAGGTCTCTTAACTCCCAAGTCTAACACTTCCCATGACTCACCATTGAGGCAGCTAAGTGGGACAGTGCATAGAGCACTGAACTTGGAGTTAGGAAGGCCTGAGTTCAAATCCTGATTCAGACACTTAGTAGCTATATGACCCTAACTTCTTCATAACTTCTCTGGGCCTCAGTAAAATGACAGGAGTTAGGTTCAATGGTCCCTTCCAATTCTAAGCCTATCATCCTGGTACACGAACGTTCAAAGTTCAAAACAGGTACTGAATGTGATTAAATACATCGCGGAAGTCAAATGGGGAGGCATGAGGGATTTGGAGAAGGAGGCATCCTTTCTAGTTGGTTGGGTGGAGATCATGGAGGCCTTGGAATGGACTTTGCCTATGCTCTACAGAGACAGCAAGCTGACGATGCTCCTTAGAGAGTCGCTGGGCAACATCAACTGCAGGACCACCATGATCGCCCACATCTCTGACTCCCCAGCCAACTATGCAGAGACCCTCACCACAGTGCAACTTGCCTCACGCATCCACCGAATGAGAAAGAAGAAGTCCAAGGTGCGTTAACCCCTTGAGCTGGGGCTCACCTGGGTCAGATTCATCAGAACAGCAGACCTATCTATATCTCCCCCTTCATAGTTTAGAAAAAAATACCTTCCCATTTTACAGGTAGGAAAACTGAGGCCTAGAGAGAGACAGCATGATGTTGTATATAAGTCAGTGGACTTGGAGTCAAGAAGACCTGGGATCAGATTCCTACCTCAGATATTTAATGGTTGGGCAGTTTACCTCTCTGGGCCTCAGTTTCCTCATCTACAGAATGAAAAGATTGGGCTTGATGGATTCTTAGCTGTATAGCTATGATATGATGATCCTTATAGCCCTTACTTCATTTGAACCTCCCCACAACCCTGGAAAGTTGTTACAGCAAGCATGATCCCCCCCCACCCCCACCCCCACCCCAATTTTATTATCCATTTTGTTTTTTGTTTTTGGCAAGTGAGGCTAAGTGACCTACCCAGGTCACATGGCTAGTGTCTGAGGCTAGATTTGAACTCAGTTCCTCCTGATTCTAGGACTGGTTCTCTATCCACTGTGCCACCAAGCTGCCCCTATTATCCTTATTTTTACCAGACCTGGGATTCCATCAGTGTAGGGACCTCTTGGTGAAGACCCCCTTCTACTGGGGCATGTCTCAACCTGCTCTGAAGTTTATAGCTTTAGAGACATGTCTGCGGGCACTGAGAGGTTAAATTACTTGCCCAGGGTCACATATAGTCAGATGTATCAGAGTTAGGACTTGAACTCAGCTCTTTCTATGGCTGATAGAAAGTCACCCAATGGGCCTTGGAACTGGGACTTGACCTTAGGCCTTCTGATTCCCATGCCCACCCAGTGTTTGTCCTAGTACATCAGGCTCCTTCTCCATGTGAACCCTGTGCGTGTATGCCCCTCTTGGAAAGGACTGTGTGATACCTATAGTTTTTATCTTCTGAGGCTATAAGTGCTGAACTATCTGGCTCCATAATAGTACAACCAGTTGTTTTGGGTTTTTTTCCCCCATGCTCCTTAAATTCCAGGCTCAGTATTGAGGATGTCAGGACTGAAGGCACCTTGGAACATAGACCATTAAAAATGAAAGACATGCAGAATCCTCAAGTGGTAGAGGGAAGAGACTTCTTAGAACATAGAACATGAAATGGGGATCAGAACATGGAGCATTAGAGTTGAAAGGGACTTTGTATTCCATCTAGGGGGCAGCTAGGTGGCACTGTGGATAGAATGCCATGCCTGTAGTCAGGAAGATTCTGAGTTCAAATCTGACTTCAGACACTCACTAGCTGTGTGACCCTGGGCAAGTCACTTAACACTGTTTACCTCAGTTTCCTCATCTGTAAAAGGAACTGGAGAAGGAAATGCAAACCACCCCAGTATCTTTGCCAAGAAAACCCCAAATGGGGTCACAGAGAGTTGGACATGACAGAAACAATTAAACAGCAAACAGTGATGCCATCTAGTTCAACCCTCCTTATTTACAGATGGGGACACTGAGGCTTGTAGAGAGTTAGGTTTGGAAGGTCAAACATCAGTTTGAACGGAGGTAGTATGAGAGCCAGGATAGCTTACTAAGCTATTATTAGCAAAGCCGAGGCTTGGACTGATGACAGCGCTTTCCTTCTGTTTTAGTATGCATCCAGCTCTTCAGGAGGAGAGAGTTCCTGTGAGGAGGGCCGAGTACGGAGGCCTCCGCACCTGAGGCCTTTTCACCCTCGCACGGTGGCTTTGGATCCCGACCTTCCTGGCCTGGGTCTCTCCAGTGACCCTGATTATTCCTCCAGCAGTGAGCAGTCCTGTGACACTGTCATCTACGTGGGGCCCAACGGGGCTGCCCTGTCTGACCGGGAGCTCACAGACAACGAGGGCCCACCTGAGTTTGTCCCTATCATCCCATCGCTCAATAGGAAACGGAGCAAAGATGGGCTGGGTGGCCCGTGGAGCTCAGACAAGGACCACTTCAAGTGTAACACGTTTGCTGAGCTGCAGGAGAGACTGGAGTGCATTGATGGGAGCGAGGAGCCCACTCGTTTTGGTGGGGGCGACACCCCTGGTGTAGTGAATGGCAATGGTCCAGGCAGTGCGGAGGCTGGCCTGGCCAAGTCAGCCAAGGAGAAACCCCCCTCCCCATTGAGGGTGTGCAAGAAGCCTGCATTGCTGGAGGCGGCATCCCCCAAAAAAGGGCCTGGCCTCCATTTCTCAGCAGGATCTCCCCGCAATGGTGCCTGCCCAGGAAACAGCCCCTCCCAAGGCCAAGCGGATAGCCCCAATCCCGTGACCAGAGGTGATGGGAAAAAATCAGATGTGGTCTCAGATGGAGCAAAAGATATAGCTCTCCACGCATCGAGATCCTGTAAGCCAGATGTGACTAGGAGCCCAGACTGTAGCACCGCCACAGAGCCAGTTGTCAAGGACAAGGCTGTGTACGGGAAGCGACCACTGCCCAGCCCGGCACCCCCACCCCCTCAGCAGAAGGACCTCACGCCACCGAACAACATGTATTCCAAGCTGGATGACAGTGGGGTCCGGACTCCTCCACTGGGAATGAGTAAGCAGATCGTGAGCTCTGGGGAGATGCAGCCTGCCCAGGGAGCATCCCCACCACCATCCACCAGCACCCTGGAGGTACACAGCTTCCATTCGGCTTTCCGGGGTAAGTGCTTTGACCGGGACATTCTGACGACCACAGTGACCCTACAGCAGCCGGTGGAGCTAAATGGTGAGGACGAGCTGGTGTTCACAGTGGTTGAGGAGCTGTCGATCAGTGGCATGGTTGACTCAGGTCGGCCCACAAGCATCATCAGTTTCAACAGCGACTGCTCCCTCCAGGCTCTGGCCTCAGGCTCCCGCCCGGTCAGCATTATCAGCAGCATCAATGATGAGTTTGATGCCTACACATCTCAGGCGTCCGGCGTGAACATTGACATCGTCCTGCCTTTCACCGAGGGAGCCTTTCCCTCTGACAGCCGCCGCTCTTCCATCAGCTCCTGGCTAAGTGAGGTCAGCCTCTGCACCATGGATGGTGATGTCATGCCCCCCGGGGAAGTCCTCACTACATCATCTCCTTTTGCCTGTGATACCCCTGGGGAGAACTTCACCTTGGGCTCTCCTGGTGTCACTGTCACTTTCACCCCAGGGAACCTCAAGAACTCCTTGAATGACAGCGGGCTCTGCGTCTCAGAGCTGGACAGCTTGGAGAGTGCTAGCTCTAGGAAGATGTCACCAGCCATTGCCAAGAATCCCCAGTCCTTGGGATCCGCCAAAGCTGCCCCCACCCCAGGTGTCTCCAGGCTCCCCAGTCAGCCCAGGAGAGCAGGGAGGGGTGGGAATCCTCAAGTGACACATAAGATGCAAACCATCCATTCTAGTCTTCCTCGGACTCTGAGAACTACTACCTCAACCCCCCATTATATGGGTGCCATGCACCATAGCCATGAATTGCCCAGTCCAGGTGGGCTATTTGATGACCCTTGGCTAGTGCGAGTGGATGTCCCACCGGGCATCCACTCCACAGACCCACCATCCTCTCCTAGCAACCCTCCATTAGGTATTGACCCCTTAAACGTGCCCTGCAGGGGGGCCGCAGGGTATAGGCCCCTCAAGTCCCAGACAATGTTGGCCTGTTCCCAGCGGGTGGTGGATGGATGTGAAATGTCTTGCAAGTCAGCTGGGGACCATGCTAGGAAACCAGAGGTCATGACCCAAATCCCACCCCTGAGGAGAGGGGCCACCACACTGGGTGTGATGCCAGTGGCTCGAAGTGGAGATAGCCCTGCCGAGGCCCTGGCGCGAGGCAATCCCGAGTCTACCTTGACCACCAGCAGCCTGAAAACCTCCATGGGGAAGAAGAATGGCCCCCAGAAGTCTAGTCTCTTACCCAGGCCCAGTGGGGCAGGACCCCCTGCCCCCCCAGTCCGAAAATCAAGCCTTGAGCAAAAAAATGGCATTTCTCCATCTAGGGGAGGCACGGACCCTGCAAGAGCCCCTGCTTCCAAAGGGGAAGAAGAGGCAGAGCTGCGACCCAGGCCTGGTGCCGGCTCGGCACCAGACAGCCTGAAAGGCAAAGCCAGCATCAAGGGTGAGCATTCTCTGCCCAAGAGTACGTCCAGCCTAAAGGCGAGAGCCGCCAAGCCTGAGGTCGTCCATCGCTACGGAAGTCACATGTCTCTTGAGCGGTGTGAGGGCCTAGGCTTGGGGGCAGCCAAGGCCGATGGCGGGGGCAGCAACATTGGGAGGCAGGGGCGGTCTGTGCCACGGCTGGGTGTGCCCCCTGCGGCCCCTTCTCCTGGGTCTCCAACATCCTACGTGACCCCCTGCAAGGGCGGCTCAGCCAAGGGTGTGGCAAACGCTAAGTCACCAGCTGGTGGAAGCAAGAGCCGTAACCTGTTGGCCGGTGGGTCCCGGTCCCTCAGCTCTTCCGTGAAGTCCCTGAGTCAGCAGCCAGCCGGGAAGAGCCCCGGCGGCCCCCCTAATGGCAAGGTGGCCCCGCGTACCATGCCGGGGGTCAACAGCAAGCCTAGCCGGGGAACCATCATGGGTACCAAACAGGCGATGAGGGCGGCCAACAGTCGTGTGAACGAGCTGGCCTCTGGCAGCTCAGGCAAAGGGGGTCATTCCCGTAGCTCGGCAGACTCGGACAGTGGAAATGACAGTGGCGTGAATCTAGGTGATGAGAAGCTGCCAGTGCCCGCCCTGCCCTCCCCCTACAGCAAGATCACAGCTCCCCGGCGGCCGCAGCGCTACAGCAGCGGGCACGGCAGTGACAACAGCAGCGTGCTGAGCGGGGAGCTGCCGCCGGCCATGGGGCGGACGGCCTTGTTTTACCACAGCGGCGGCAGCAGTGGCTATGAAAGCATGATCCGGGACAGCGAAGCCACGGGCAGTGCCTCGTCCACCCACGACTCCATGAGTGAAAGTGGCCTGTCGTCCCCTGGGGGCCGAATGAGGAGCCTGAAATCGCCCAAGAAAAGATCAACAGGTAAAAAGGAAACTATTTTAAATAGACTTTCCCCTCTTCACCCCTCCCAGATATTCCAAAAGGCACGTGGGGAAAAGGAGGATTTTATCTTCCCTGTTCTCTGTCAGATGACCCAGGGAGCCTTTAAGTGTGGTTCCTGGGCTTTCACCTTTCATTACTTTCTGGGTAGGAATAGAGAAGTGGAGAGAGGAATGAGGGTGACAGCGCTGGACTGACACCAGCAGTTTGTCCATGTGCCACAGGCCAGATGTTGGGCCAAGGCGGAAACCATCCTCAGTCTATGTGCTATATTGTAAGATTCATGTCAGTTTCTAGTACCCCACTCCCTATCTGGACTTAGATGGTCTTCATCATTCTCTGCCCTTTGGTCTTTGCTGTGAAGATAAGAATAGAGCCCAGAGATAGGGGTTGTAGTTCAGGGCAGGCCACTCAGCCAAACCCAGACAACTTTGCCCCTCTCCTACCTCATCCCCACTCCCCTCCTCCCCAAGTGGAACTTTATGGAGCAACCTTGGGCAGTCCCCAGCATCCACTCTCAGTGAAATCCAAGAAAGCCCACAAAAGTTGGCCCAGGTTCCAGTTTTAAGGAATGGAACAGTCATTTTAGTCATGTCCGACTCTCCCTGACCCTATTTGGGATTTCTTTGGCAAAGATAGTAGAATGGTTTTGCCATTTCCTTCTCTAGCTCATTTTAGAGATGAGAATACTGAGGCAAACAGGGTTAAGTGACTCACCCAGGGTCACACAGCTGGTAAATGTCTGAGGCCAGATTTGCACTTAGAAAGAGGAGTCTTCCTGACTCCGGGCCCCACGCTGTATTCACTGCGCCACCTAATTATCCTTTACACCAAGTCAAATCTGCTTCTCTGAAATGTTCCTCATTGTTCAACATTCTGGTGCCAAACAACAAATCTAATTTCTCTTCCTCACAACAGCTCTTCAAACATGTGAGGACCAGGCTCCTTAATGTCTCTTCCTCTTCTTTGTGTAAAATTTCCCTCAGCCCAATTTCACTCCATCCCTTTATGGCCTGTTTGCTACTCCTCCCTCCATCCTAGTTGCTTTCCTTTGGAGATGTCCTGGCTTATACATTGTCCTTCCTGTTACCCACCACAGGGCACCCACCACTACGGAGGGGATACTGAGAGTGGGCAAGTTAATTTTCCAATCCAGAAGTCCAGCCTCAGTGAGCTAACCGGCCTGGTTTGGCTGGAGCGTGGTGGGCAGGATTTCTGAGTCCCTCCTGTGGGCATGAAATAAATCAAGCTAACGTGAGCTCCCTTCCCACTTAAGCCTCCCCCACAAATCAATATTAACGGCCCTGTAAAGTTGCACACGAATCGAGGAGGGTATTACTCACTGATGGATTCGATTTTGTTTTTAGCCCCAGGAAATACTTGTGAGGTCTTTAAAGATGACAAACTATTTCTTTTCCAATAAGGGCTGTCTGTTATCAGTAAATGGGCTCTCTTATTTTGTATACTTTAATGCCCAAACCTGCTAATATTTTTCCATCAATCAATTATTCAATCAACAATCATTTATTAAGCACCTACTATGTATTAGACAGTATGCTAGGTGCTGGGCATACAGAAACAAAGAATGATACAATCCCCATTCTCAAGGAACTTAAGTTCCAATGCGGGAGACAACACACATATGCATAAGAATATACAGAATAAATATACATGAAGTAAATAAAAGATCTTTTGAAAGAGAAGTTATCAGCAATTGGAAGGATTGAGAAAGACTTCATGTAGAAGGTGATGCTTGAGCTATGTCTTGAAGGAAAAGAGTGACAGAAACTATGAGGTGGAGGTTAGGAAGAAACATTGCATGTGAGAAATAGAGAGAAGGCCAGTTTGGCTGGGTCATCATGGAATGCTGGAGGTGGAATAACATATGATAAAATTGGGAAGATAATTTGGAACCAGGTTGTTAAGGACATTCAAAGCTTAACAGAGGAATTTTTATATTTTATCCTAGAGGCAATAGAGAGCCACTAGAGTTTCTTGAGTAGAGAAGTAATGTCATAGATCTACATTTAAGGAAAATCACAATGGTCGCAGTGTATAAGATAGACAAGAGTAGGGAGAGATTTGAGGGGTAGAGACTAATTAGGTGGCAGTTGCAAAAATCTAGACCAAAGGTGGTAAGGGCCTGAAACTAAGGTGGTAGCCATATTGAGTAGAGAGGAGGGGGTCAGATGATGGAAATGTTGTGGAGGTTAAATTGGCAAGAATTGCCAATTGCTTGGATGTGAGGAGTCAAGGAGAACACTGAGGTTACAAACCTGAGAGACTGAGAAAATGGCAGTGCCTTTGATGGAATTAGGGAAGTCTGAAAGTGCTAATGGACTTGAGGAGAAAGAGAGTGAGTTCATCTTTGGAAATGTTGTATTTTGAGATGTCTCCAGGACATCCAGCTTAGAATATGCAATAGGTAAGTAATTAATGATGTGGGACTGATGTTCAGGGGAGAGTCGTTTGTGTAGAAATGTTAATTAAACTTACTGGAACTGGTAAGGTAACAGAGAGAGAGGGGAAGGAGGAGCTGGGGGGAGAGAGAGAGAGAGAGAGAGATTGAGAGAGAGAGAGAGAGAAGAGGAAAGGATCCAGGACAAGCATTCAGTAACTCCCATAGTTAGGAGTAATGAAATGGATGAGGAGCCCACTAAGGTGACTGGAAAGGGGATGTTAGGCAAGAGGAGAAACAGAAGAAAGAAACGTAGAAAATTCAGAGGGGAGAACATCCAGCAGGAGGAGAGGTTGGTCAATAGTGTCGAATGCTGCTGATAGGTTGGAAAGGATGAGGACAGATTTGGTGATTAAAGAAGACACTGATAACAGTGGAGATCAGTTGTAGTTGAGGAATGTGGGCAGAAACCATATTGCAAAGGATTGAGTCTTATGTGAGAGAAGTGGAGGCAATGAGTATGGAGGCTTATTCTAGAAGTTTGGTTAAGAAAGGGAGGGCAGGAATGGTAGGATCTACTGAAGAATTTTTTAAGGGTGGTGCACCACCTAATTATACAAAAAAAAGATAAATCTTTTTAAAGATTTTTTAAAGATAGTGGAGACATGGACATTAGAGGGGATGGGATTAAAGTCATTTGTAGAGGGGCTGGCCTTGGCAAGAAGTTTCACTTCATTATCAGAGACTGGGGAAGGAAGGAGAGGGTGAAGAGGCCAAAGGGAAGGAGGAAGAGCTCATATCAAATGGCCTTAATTTTCTCAGGAAAGTAATAGGTCCCCAGTTGAGGAGTGGGATGGGGGTACTTGAGGAGAGAAGGTTTGGAATACTTCCATGGGGAGTGAGATAGGGAATCACTTGGGAGTAAAAGGAATGCTTAGCTGTATTGAGCACCCAGTTCAAGTTGGATAACATGAATTTATGTTACCTAGTTAGCACAGTTGAATGACTTTCCTCAGCTGTGTTTGGCAGGAGCAGAGAAAGGTGGGTGGTAGGAGTAATCCAGGGCTGAGATTTGACAAGGCTTGAATGGTGATAGGACAAGGGGTTGAGGGATTTGAGCAAAGACAATAGTGGAAGGTGAATTGGTGAAATAGAGGGTCAGGATTGGAGTGGATGCACAGTGAGATTAGGGGAGGGATAACGGCCTGAGAAAGTATCGTAAGGTGGAGGAATTGAAGATTATGATGTGAATGAAAAATAGGTTTAGGAGGAATGAGGTAAAGGATGAGATGCATTGATAGGAGTATGGTCAGAATTTTGGATTTAGAAAGTGGAACCCTTGTGGGTAATGGTGAGATCCAGGCCGTAATCATCCCTGGCTATGGCTAAGGTAGAATGAAGGAATAGGTCATGGGAATGGGAGGGATTGGGAGGCTAAGGCATTTGAAATGAATATGGATGATGACGTCCCTTAATATAAAGACAGGAGTTGGGAACATGAGGAAGATGGTGAGACAGGTACCGAACTTCTCAAGAAAGGAGGGAGAATAATGGGCAGCTTGTACATAATTGCCTCCATAACCTGGATTGGGTGGAAAATTTTAAGTGAATGAACTTCAAAGAAGGAGAGATTGCTGAATGGTGTCAGCAAAAGGAGAGTTCTGAAGTGACAGTGGGGACCAAAGAAGATTCTGACTCCCCTTCCAGGACCACAGACGTAGACTATTTAGAAATGGTGACAAGTAGCAGTGCTTGATTAGAAGCCTACTTGCATTGGTTTCATGCTTCAGTTCAATTTATTTTTTTTTAATTTATAGAATAAAACAAGCATTTCCATAACACAGAACATTAAAAAGACAATTGTACATGAAACTGCAAATCTACTATGCACAACTTGCTATTCCTTTCAAATATACAACTAAATTATCATGTATTTTTTTCTCTCCCCCTCCCCCAACCACCTGAAAGGGTTCAATTCATTTCTGTAATACCAAGATGGCTGGCTCTGGGTTAGAGAACTTAGCTTCAACCCTATGCTTGATTCTTACTGTGTAGTTCACTGAACTTCATTTGAAGAATCAGACTAGGTGGATCATCAAACTAACCCCAACCCTTGTGTCCCATTTTTTCATGCCCATCCATTTTCCCTCATGTTCCACTCCAACCCTGTCCACCTTTTCCACTGTCCTCTGGAATTACCATTCCATAGTGAACAAATTTCTCTACATTCTAGACCACACACACACACACACACACACACACACACACACACACACACACTCTATATTCCTGGCTATCCTCTATAACACTGGTTACACTTTCACTCACACTTCCAAAACAGTGGTCCTGGAAGGGGAGTCAGAATCTTCTTTGGTCCCCACTGTCACTTCCAGAACTTTCCTTTTTCTGTCTATATTCTGCTCTTTCCTGAGGAGGAAAATGCGCGTGGAGATGCATGTGTATGCCTTTGCCTAGCAGACAGCAGCAAGCTAGAGCATCACTGATGGGGGGGCTGGGGGATGTTGGTTGTGTATTTGCAGGTCTGCAGCGGCGGCGCCTGGTTCCGACTCCACTGCCTGAAGCTGCGGCCCTGGGCAGGAAGCCCAACGCTGCCGGTCAGTGGGTGGACCTGCCCCCTCTGCCTGGCACTTTGAAGGAGCCTTTTGAGATCAAAGTGTATGAGATTGACGACGTCGAGCGCCTGCAGAGGCACCGGCGGGAGGAGCCCGAGGTCAGCCCCTCCCCTCTCCTATAGCCCTCCTCCCTTCGGAACCCCTTTGGTCCAGGTCCCTGAGGGAGGACGAGGTTCAATTGGAAACCGTCTTGCAATTAGATCTCCTGGCATGATTAATTTTCACTGTTTTGCATGTTTAGGTCCCCTGAATAGAGAAACATCATTATAGGCCACAATTAATTGTGTTTAACCTGACGGAGAACATGAGTTGAGAATGTGCACGCACTCGTTATTAGGACGCTGTCTGCGCAGAGCCCTGTTGCAGCGACTTTGTTTGTTCAGAACCTTTTAAGTCCCCCTTAATAGCTTCCCTCCAGAGCAAGGTCATTGACCCTTAGTTATGGAACCTCCACATTGGTGGGGAGGGGGAGGGGCTATTATTGGGAAAGTCATTCAGCCCAATGCCTGCTTCCTTCTGATGGAGTTTTTCCTTTTTCCCTCTCTCTTTTTTTTCTCTCTAGCCTTTCCAAGATGTGGAAAAGGTAAATAGCATGTTCCCCTCTCACACTGATGTAGGTAGGGTTCCTCAAGGATTGGAGAATGTCAGAATCTCAGAGTTAGAAGAAACCTTAGAGATGACCTATAGGGATACTTTTCTGGAGAACTCAGTCTCATCATTTTTTCTTTCTTTCTTTTCTTTTCTTTCTTTTCTTTCTTTCTTTCTTTCTTTCTTTCTTTCTTTCTTTCTTTCTTT